GATCTTACATGAGATCGTCAGTGCTTTTCCGGAAATTCAAGCGGCCAGTGTAGACAGCTGGCATGTTTTTCCAGAAAAGCGGCTGATTTTCCGGAAAAACTTGCCAGTCTAGACACAGCCTGTTATTTCCCTACTCGAGGGTCGTGCAAAAAGTGCACCAGGTTTTTGCCCCTAGATCAGAGAAACCCACACAGCGAAAAGTACATCTGCCTGTAAGAAGGGACATCCCAAATAAAACACCTTCTGAACTCCTCCTTTCTCCGCATACCAGCTGCAGGCTTGCACCCGCGCTGCGGGGAGAGGGACTGGGTTTCGAATGTCCTCAGTGAGAAGTAATAGAGATGTAGTCGTGTTAGTCTGGTCTTGCTGAAACAAAAGAGAGGACTAGGCAGCACTTTAAAGACTCACAAGATGGTTTATTAGGTGATGAGCTTTCGTGGACCAGACCCACTTCTTCAGAACGAATTCTGAGGAAGTGGGTCTGGCCCATGAAAGCTCATCACCTAATAAACCATCTTGTGAGTCTTTAAAGTGCTGCCTAGTCCTGTCCTCAGAGAGAAGTGATTTTGAAATAAACAGCAAAGAGCTTTCTGTTCACTCCACACTAATATCCCCACACAGGAACCTTAAACCTTCGGAGCACAAAAGTCCCTCTCTCCGCATGGAAGAACTGCCCTTTAGTGTAGCTAGAATGAAACCACCCGGGTATGTGACAGACTCGAATCCCGTTTCCAGCCCACTTGAGACTCCTGAGGCTGAGGGAGGAGAGAAACCCAGCCTCACCACATTGGCATTGTGACATGGCAGTGTTCCTGGGCGGGAGGGGGCGGCTTTGCCCTCGCTAGCATTGCTGAAAATAGCAGCACGGGCTGTGCAAGCCCCCCTGTGCCGTTGGCTAGGCCTGCATTTCGCCAGCCTGCACTGAGGTCCGTGTCTTGGAGCTGCCAGCCAAGACTGACCTCATGGAGACAGCCGGTTCTTCCCACCCTGCCTTGCCCAATGCTGGGGATGATGCTAATCCAGAGCCCGTCTAGGCCATTTCAGGCTGGGGGGAGGGGGAATGGGTCTGCCCTTTGGGGTAGGACCTGATTCATCGGCGACCTGAGAGGCCCTTTAGGGCTGATGCTCAGTGCCCTTTGCTGCCTTTTAACTCTATCCCCCTCTCTCCAGAGATGCCCAGATGGCAGCAGAGTCCCGTCCTTCCCACACAGGAGTTTGCTCGGCTGCTCCCCTGCCACTGGCATGGGTGCAGGCCCTCCCTGCTTGCCGTGGGGCCAAGGGCCCTGCCCGGCTTTGTGTGAGGAACCAGACTTGGCCACTTTGGCACAGAAGAGGGAGTGGGGCCAGGCCTTCCAGGCTCAGACACCCACGCCCCTGGAGGGCCCCTCTTTTGGGCCTGGAGTAGGATTCCTTCTCTGTAGACTGAGGTGGGGCGAATCTTGGCCCACGTAATTGCTGCATGGCCTGTCCGCTTGCTCGTGTAAACTCCGGCTTGTTTGTGTCCTTGCCCCCGCAGGGTGCTCTGCAGCAGCTGACCTTCCAGATGGGAGACCCGTGGGCTGCCGGCGAACACTGTGGGGGCTACCACGCCAGCTGCAGCAGCACGTTCAGCCCGGAAGCTTTCCACAACCAGTCGTGCTCCTGGGGGGAACCGTGCCCCCCTTGGCCGGAGGTGTGGCTAGGGCCAGAAAAGAGCATTCTTGGGTTTCCCCTTTGCAGAGTGGGCCCCAGTTTATCCCTGGTGTAATTAAACCTTGGGCTCCTTCCATTGACTTCATTCAGCCTTCTGGGGCTCAGGTTTCTGTGGTGACGTGGAGAGCACGCAGCAGTGACTCTGACACCCTTTGCGGCCGGACACCAGTCTGGTGTTTCCTCCCCACCGGGGATGTTAAATTTAGTTTAATCGACTAGTCGATGGAACTTCCATCAATTAGTTGATAACTGGGGAGCTGCAGCGGGGTTAGCTCCAGTCCTGGTCCTGGGAGCTAACTCTGCTTTTTAAATGTATTAAGAGCTGGCAGGTTCTTAATACATTTCAAAAGCAGAGGCGCAGCATCCTGGGAGTAGGCATGAGCTGGGAATCAGTTGATTCCCATCTCGCACCCAATCTCCGCTATTCCTCCTGCGCCCCACGGAGATCGTGCTGGGGGGAACCGGCTTTTAAGCTGGCTCCCCCCAGCACTGGCTTCTGCTCCTCCCCTTGCTGCCTCTAATAGAGGCAGCAAGGGGGAGAGCAACTTGTCGAGGGATTAGTCGACTAGCCGATAAGCTTATACTTATCAGATAGTCGACTAGCCGATTAGTCACTTACATCCTGACTCCCCACGTGTGTCCGTGCTCCAGGGCTGGAAGGGAGCCCCGGAAAGCACCCCCGTTCACCCTGTCGTACTGCCCCTCGGCCCACCCATCAGTGGGAGCTGCAGCGCTGGTGTCTGATGTCACCTGGGCAGTGCGCGGCCTGAGTGATACTTTTGGAGTGTTTGTCCTCCCATCGCCCCCCGCACCGTGTCTGGTGGGCGCTCACAGCCCTATTGTCCTGCCTGTTTCTGGGTGGGTCAGCAGGGGGACCTTGCTGGGCGGTACCATGTCTGGGATGGGGAAGGGGTGTCGCGTGGCCTGCTAGCGCGGGGAAGCTGAAGGGAAGTTAATCGGGACTGGGGGTGGAGAAGACCCCACAGTCGCATGCACATGGAGAGGGGTTCCTGGGCTGGCGATCATGGCAGTTCTTGGCCACTGACCACATGTGTCTGATCCCTCATTCCAAACAGAGCCACGCCCATTCCCCCGAGAATCGCCTGGGCAACGAGGGAGAGGGCTCTGCTGCTGTCATGGGGACGCCGGCGCCTCCGTTAAACGTAAGCTGTCCATCCGCCGCTGCGGTGCCCCATGGGACCTCGGCGTTTGACTTCCCTGGCGAAGGGGTGTGGCACAAAGGGGAAGAAATGGCTGGAAGGAAGGGGCTGGGCTGTGTGCGCACTATTGTGCACAAGTGTGTACAACGCACACTCGTATTTGTGATGTTGCAGCACACTTATCAAAGTGCGATGAGTGAGAAGCCTTGTGCTTAGGAGTTCCAGCCCCTCTCCCCCAAATCCCACTCCCATGCCTGGTTCTTAGAGACACACAAACGCTCTGACTTTTGGGAGCAGGGCTGAGGTGAGGCAGGTACAGTATCAGCGGCCTCCTGTTGCAGTTGTGCGGCGTAGAAAGGTCTGCGTAGCAGGGCTTGCTTTGGTGGAAGCAGTGGGTACAGACGTAGTGTCAGCCTTTGGCATGAGCTTTCCTCTGTGTTTAATAACTGCTCAGAGTGGCTTACTAATGACCTGGCAGCGGCGGTGGAAGGGTAGGACATAGATGTGTAGGACGGAGCAGCTGCCTTTCCGGCCCTCCCTGGGCTCTGGGGGAAAATCTCCTGGCTCCTGGCATCTTGTTTGCGTTCACGTCCGTTCATTGTTGTTCTACTCCTTGACGGGGAAGGCAGAGGAGCGATGCTGCAGCTTGTGCTGCTTTCGAACAGCCCCTGGCTTCCTCGTGCAAGTGCTGGGCCGTGGGGCAGCCATTCCCATAAATACTGGAAAGAAAATGTTTGCGACAGAAGAAAGTCCTTGCGGGGTGAACCAGGGATTTATGCTGCCAGAGGTGGGGCCGGCGCAGACCGTGTGACACGGGGCGCAGACCGTATGACACGGAGCTCAAAGGGGAGCCACGATGGATGTTGGGGTAATAGGCTGGTTCTTGCCTCACTGACTATGAAAACAATTTGCCCTCCTGGGTGCAAGGGCTTGTCCACAGGCGCGTGTAGTTCACAGGAAGCTGGGATGGGAACCTGCCCCCCGCCACAGACGTAACCGCCGGGGTGGACCCTGCTCGGGTGCACGAATCGTTTGTTAGCGCACGATCGTCGAGTCCTCTCGGGAACGGACCTGACTCAAAGTACAGCAGCGACCTGTAGTTGCTCGTCACTAGGGTCTAGTGAGTGCGCAGCTGGCTAGCGCGGGGGCGATTCTCCTCCTGGCTTTCTGTGAACTAAGTGTTCCTGTGGACAAGCTGCAGCACCACAAGAGTGGCCTCAGGAACGCTGGTGCTGGGGCTTTCGAGGGCTCTTGCTCATATTGCTCTGCCAAGCTAGCGGTTGCCACGCTCGTGGGTTAGCATCCTCTCCATTTTGCAGAAGGAGAGCTGTGACCCAGCGAAGAGCAGGCCCCCAGATGGGGGGTGGAGGAGAGCAAACGGGGCAGTAGTCCCGGAGTAGCTCAAAAGGCAGCTCTGAGGGCTGCCTGGGGGTGGGGACTGGGGCTCAGTACGCTCTGGGCCGCGCTGAGGGCTGCCTGGGGCTGGGGACCGGGCCTCAGTACGCTCTGGGCAGCACTGAGGGCTGCCTGTCCCAGCCCTGCCCCTTCCACCCAAGGCCCCCGGCCTTCCAAAAGCACGGAAATGAGTCATCCCCCCCTGCCCCTTCCAGTTCCAAGAGGGCACTGGAAAAGTGAGGAGTAGAGCCCAGGTCTTTGTGAGCCGCACCCGGTAGTAAAAACACCTGGAGAAAATAATTGCTTGACAACAAGAACTTGGGTAAATGTGCACAGGGACACCCAGGGCATGTCTACACTGCCACCCTAGTGCGAACTAGGGTGGCTAATGTAGGCATCCGAAGTTGCAAATGAAGCCCAGGATTTAAATATCCCGGGCTTCATTTGCATCTTGCTGGTGCCGCTGTTTTTAAATCCCCCTCAGTGTGGACTCCATGCCTGCGGCTACACGTGGCACGGAGTAGGTAGTTCAAATTAGAGAGCCTAATTTGAATTACCTTCCCTGTGCCGCGTGTAGCTGCGGGCACGGAGTCCGCACTAAGGGGGATTTAAAAACAGCGGCACCAGCAAGATGCAAATGAAGCCCGGGATATTTAAATCCTGGGCTTCATTTGCAACTTCGGATGCCTACATTAGCCACCCTAGTTCGCACTAGGGTGGCAGTGTAGACATACCCCCAGGTATTAAAGTACCAACCAAATTCCCCAGTCCTGCTCAGGCAGTGAGAAGCATGCTGAAAGAAGTAACTTTTTATAATGGGAGGGACTCAAAGACCCAGGGGCCAGACGTGGCTCCTCAGCTTGCCTGGCCCCCAAGGCTCACGGCTTCCCCCCCTCAAGCACAGGGGAGCTCACGCTGGTGCTCCAGCCCCCTCCGCCATCCCCCCACAGGACTGGAGCACACATCTACCAGCCTGGGCCCCCCTAGGCTCTGGTGTGTGAGGAGAATGTGAAGAGTGTCTTTCTGCTTCTCAGCGGGGGCCACATCAGAAAAGGGTTTGGTTTTTTTTGTGTTTCTCAATTGTGTGTGGCCTACGACTGTTTGTGTGTGTGTGTGGGGGGGGGGGTCAGCAGCCCATGACCCCAAAAAGGTCCCCCCCCCCGTTTTA